TTTTCCCCCCCGTTTCTTGTCTACATTCTTATGTTGAACGATTTGTTCATGAAACTTTAAGGTGACTTCATTTGGACAGTCTTCTAATGAGTCTTACTGAATTGTCACTACCTAAAATTGGTGACGGTAAGTTTAAGTTTCATGGGACTTGGGTTAAGCAGTGTAATATATGTTTGTATTAGGTTTTGCTGATAGTGTGGTTTATCTCTGATACTTGCTGATGATGGTATTCCTTGGCTGCAGTTAGATAGGATTTTTTTTTTTTTTTAATATGAGAATTTCATATAATCATTACTTCAATTTAGGGACTGGAAAGTTTTTAGAACTTTTCTTCAACTGGCTTAGTGATCGGAATTAGAACCTAGATAAAAAGTGTCTTCGTTTTTCTTGATCATTAAAAATCTTGGTTTCTTGGTATGACATTTTTTTTTTAAATATCATTAATGAAACAAACCAACATGCAAGAACATATTCGTACGTCTATCATGACCTTGTGCATTTGAAATTTTTTGTTATGGTGTGTAGTTATGCTCATCAAGTTGCAGAGTTCTTTGAATTTGTAAAGAAGAAGAAGAAGCCCCATTGGATGAAGCTGGCCAGAGGGGAGAAACACAGCCAGCCACAGATGCTGCAACCCCATAAAGATGGCCTGTGGCTACCAGGCCGAGCACACATTTCCTTCATCGGCCCTGAATCCACTGGACTTCCGGCCTGCAAGCTACGCAGGTCATGTCTAGCTTGTTTGTCGTGAAGCATACAAGTGGGCCATGGAATATTCAGCTTCCTTCAACATATTGGTGATCTTCTAATGTTTCCCTAATTATGCTTGTTTTCTTCAATGTAAAATTTCAGCTTCTGATCCTTCTAATGTTATAGACATTTCAGCTTCTTCTGATGTAATGTAGAGATAGTTGAATGCTTGTTAATACCATGCTAGGATGCTTCTTAGGTGTAGGTTGTATTTCCTTGGTTGGAAAGTTTACTGAGTTTTAGGCAATTATGTAAGTTGATCTTCTTCGTGCTGTCTCTTTAGGGACTCAAGGGAATGCAAGGAATGACTCTGTCTTGTTCCGTTTGTGTTAATATTTTTTAACTGTAGTTTGAGATGACTGATTTACTTTTATTCAAGGTACTAAAATTAGTCAAATGAGTGGTTCAAGGGCCAATGATCCAAGCATAGTTGAATTTGAATTAGCGTCAACCTATTATGATTAAAATACTATAATGTAATTAAATATATAAAAAATATCTATAGACAATCATGAAAAGATAATATTAAAAAAACGTTATCTATAGATAATTGATCATTATGTATAAATTACATATAATTCGTACATAACATTTCAATGGAGTTACTTTTGTAATTAAAGTTTTAAGCAAAGATATATGATTTAAGTTTTGTTTGCTGTTGACCAATAAGAATATGATGGTGGGGATATCTGTATAGTGACAAAATCACATGAAAGAAAAAAAATAATACTCCTCTAATTCTAAATATAAGACTCTATACTAGTGTATATAAAGGTTTTATATTTAGAATCGGAGGAGTAGTATTTACGAGGTTAATATATATACTTCATAGTATAAATAAGCTCGCATCAGAAAAAAAAAAATAAAGGGCTGGCATTTTCACCTCAAAAAGGAGCACAAATTTAAACTGGTTTACCAATAATTTATTTTTTAAAAAAAGAAAAACTTCGTTTATCTTGAATCGAATTAACACAACCAAACCAAAATAATCGATAAGTCAAATCAAATCATTATAGATCAACCTTTTTTCTAAACAAATCAGTTTGGTTCACTTTGCTTTCACTTCAAAACTGAACCTTTGAATACTAACAATCCAACACAGCAAAACTCTGAGCAAACCTCATCTGGCCAGCAGTATTACTGCCTCCGAACCTCTATAAAAATTAGATAATTAATTTGTGTTAAGAAAATTAGTTAAGTTAATATTTGTAATAAATGCATTGTTTTCACTAAAATACTCTTATTAATTACATGTATTAAAAAGAAAACTCTTTAACATGTGTAATCACTATGAGAACTACTATAAATAAATAAATAAATATAAAAAAAAAAAATATATTAGAATTTATTAGAATCAAATTAAATCTTCAGCTAACTCTTATTTTAGGGCTAGAAGTAGTATTAGCTCAATTAATGACAACTAAAACACTTCGTTTGTAAGAAATCCCATAACATTATTTTTTGCCAGGAGCAAGTTGTTGTACAAACTTTTATATACATTTAATTATAACAATGAAGAAATATCTCAAATATGATCCTGCGAGTTCCAACTGCATAATTAAATATTAAAGGATGTAAGTACATTATTTTCTTGCTCCCTTATATGCATGAATAACTATACAGCTATTGATAACTGAAATATTAACCTGTACAAAATCCTGCTGAATTTTCAATTATCTGAAATTGCACCAAGGCAAGTCCACAATGGAAGTGCCAGGGCCAGCAGCAACAATGGTTATTACGTGCATTCCCATGAGTTTTCATATCCCAAGGTCGAATGATGGGTTGGAAAGGTGAGGATTTGCAAGTGAGATTGAGGTATTGTATGCGCACCTTGCTTCTGAGCTGAAAAATCTGAGTTTTGTTTAAGAAGAGAAGCTGCTTGAGCCTCCAACTCATCAAGGTCAATATTATCAAAAATGTGATCATCACAGAGAATATCCTTAGCTGCACAAGCATCCATAGGTTCTTCGTTTGATTGAAGTGCAAATTGCTGCTCAAGATTTGCACTTGGAAATCCAAAACGATGAAATGACAATTTTCTTTTTCGACTTCTCATCTGTGTCGTGTTTTCAGCAGGGAAAACTACTCGAAGGTGTAGCTTCTGAGGTGATTTGGTTGCCTTCAACGGACTGCAAACTCTTGGAAGCTGACTGATTTGTTTGCTCAATTTGACGAGTCTGAATATGTCTTGGTATGCTGCCAGAAGAGTCCCCATTTTCACTAATTATAGTCATAGACGACACGTAGTCAGGACTAAATGTTGCAGAAACGTTGGTCCCTCCTTCAACTGGTATTTGACTGAGCAAAGAACGCCTGCAACATAGTTTCTGTTATGCATCATTTACAACACCGAAAGTTAATCAGGAAATTTTAAAGGGATAAGGGTTCTGATCAAATGCAGAAATAGGAAACCAAAACATAGAATACAAGAAAGCAATCTTTTCTTTCCCTCTCCCGCTAATGGAAAACGTATTTTGTACATGCTTCAATTCTAACTAGGCTACAAAAGCTAATGCAGATGTGTTAGTTTTGAAATCCAATTTTGGAACAATAGCGAAAGAGTTAGGACGGTGAAGAAATCCTTGTTTTAAGGAATTCTTCACCAAGCAACGAAGAGGTTTAAAAGAAACCAACGATAGTTGGTTGGGTGAAAAGAACTTGATTCCTTTAAGTAAGTAAAGGGTTAGAATCCCATGGATGAAAAAAATTCAAAATTAGGAGAACTACCTTCAACTGAGCTTGACAATGCTCAAATCTGACCCAATAATGTAAGATATGAGATGAATGCATGAAAAAACCAATAGATGAATTGCTTTGGAGAACTTATTGGTAATTTCAAATTCTTGCATGCTTTAGGACCCATTCACTCTTCAAGTACAGCACTTCATTTGTCTCGTTTTGTCTTATGGCTTTTGAAGCAAGCCAAAATCCAAGTGAGGACAGCAGGCAAGTGTTCTATAGCCACGGCCAAATGAAGGACTCCATGGAATTCATCAAAGGACATAAATTGAACGACCATAACCAAGCAGTGAAGTCTATAATGACATTTGTTTCAGGATGATTATCTTACTCTTGTCTTAAACCAAGCGCTAATATCATGTAAAATTCAAGAGAACAGAAATATGAAATATGACGAATAGGATTGACTTGCACATAAAATTGTCATTTTGTAATTATAATGAGCTAATGCAACAATATTTTCCAATAAGAAGAAATTAACAGATTATATCTAAAAAGATTGCCCCTATTCATGCATGTCTACCGACAGCTTTTCACCAGGAAGCTGAGAAGATTACAATTTGAAGGGAAATAAAAGGGAAGAATAAGAACCTGTATATTGCCATCATGTCTATTCCGCTAGCTCTGGACTGAGTTGTTGCTGTAGGGTTCATCCTGTCATCTATGAAACTATCCGATGAACTGTCATCCTCACCATCCTCATCATTAGAAACGTCAGCTTCTGAAGAAACCCTAAGGAAATTGAGTAGCTCATGTATTGTTTCCACAAATCATGAAAGATAGGCTGAATACGTTTACCAAAAATAATGAAAGAGGATAACATGAGAATGCAACATTTAATAAGTCTAAGCATGAGCTTACTCAGCCTCGTCGTCAATGAAGACTCTGACATTGTGCATTGATTTCCTTCTACCTAAAATGCAGAGAACAAATAGAAACAGATTAAGTTCACCGCAATACTTCATATATAGTGTTCAATTATAATGTGTTGCCACCAGTAAAGCTTTTTCCATAGATATAAAAGTTAGCTAAAGTCAAATATTTCCTTCAGTTTTGAGGGGTAACGAAACATTGATAAAGATTAAAGTTGGACGCAACAAACATTAGCAAAAGGTACCTTTGCCATGATCTTTTCTGCTTTTCTCTTTCCGATGACGCCTACCATCCTCAGCTTTACGCAACCTTTTAAATCTATGTGCTGGCTTGACACTATCAGCAACATCTCCACCACATAAAGGTGAATCTTCACTAAAGCTCCGGTTTGGTAATGTCCGCTAAAAGATTTTGGCTTCCTCCACCACAGGAGAACTAAAGACATGAACTCTTCTAATTGCACGACTCTTCCGTTCGAATAAAAGAGTTTGAGTTTCATTATTAGAAGGATCAATAGGTACGTTATTTACATCTGCGGCATTATCAATAACGACCTCTTCATTTGTCCCTAAACTTGAGGTAATTTGTTGTTCCGTCTGGTGATGAACAAGTGGTTTACAGTGCCGAATGATAAGCTGGCTTCTTGATAACCCTGCAAATTTTATTTATCTCAGGACAGATTATTCAATGACATAATTAACAGAGATCTTATTTAGCAACATTATTGAAAAAACCATCATGACCTGGAAGAAATCAGTCCTCTCATCAATGGGAGACTCTGGAACAACACCACTTTTAATTAAACTGGTCAAACGGGGACTACACTGGGACTCATTGATGTCGTTATTGAATACGTCGTCTAGCAACAAAGATGTCTTGAACTGAGAATGATCAGGCGTTCCACTATTGCTATGCCCTTCATCTGACATAACTGTGTTAGCAATTGGAGTGTCAGGAACTGTCTCTTCAAACTCACATGTTTTCTCTTTATTTTCATCTAAGTCAAATAAAGTAGATGACGGTAGATCATCCTTCTTTATGCAACTTGTATTAGGCGATCTCTGTTCTCCCACAATATTATCTGGTGCAGTTAGATCAACAAAGTCTTCAGTCTGAATCCCTAAACGAGAGGGATCCAGCTTCAGGCAACTTACAGAGACTGCATTGCTTCCAACGGTATGCCTAGAGTGTGATTTGTTGTCTGAAAAGGACAATAAATAAATAAAGGAAAGGCATCAAACTAGCAGATGTGTTCACAGGTTTTCATATTTTGAGTTTTATATGCATGTATATGAGAAGGTCACCACTTCTCCAAACATCAATCCCCCACCCCCAAAAGAAAATGAAATTGCATTATGTTTGAATCACTTCGTTGCAATACAATATGCTTAATATCTCTTTTCACCCCCCCCAAAATGTTAAGCAACTTGCAAGATTAAAAAGGTCTTTAAGGGGGAAAAAAACTAAAGAGGATAATCGCAATTCTCATTACAAAATATATTTGAAACAATAACTAAGATAATTATTCTTTTTTTTTTGTGTGACTGTTCCTATAATAACATTGTCTCTGGTCTGAAAATAAAACAAGTACGGATGAGCTCCAACCATCTTTACAAATCCATAGTGAAAATTCTTGAGAAACTGAAACTGATATTACCTGATCTAACTTCGCGAATCTTGTTTAGGTCGGATGCATTGCTAGCTTCTATACACGGGCCATCCTGAATAAAATAGAAAAGCAATCATATGATAGCTATATTGAATTCAACAATAAATGACAAGCCTAGACAAGGAGAAAACCTGAGGGATGGAAGTTTTACTGTTTCCTAAGAATGACGTTTGTCCTTGCAGACGTTGCATCAAATCAATGAGCATTATTGCTCTACAGGAATGATTCACTTTATGTGTTCTAGAAGGATATGTCTGGAAGTAAGGAAAGGCAACAAGAGATGGCTTCCACGTATTTTCACCAGTGGTTGGAAATACTTCGCAAGTATATTATTCTCTGCTGCTGTGAGTTTGCCAATAGATGCATGTATCTGAATGGAGTCACCTCTTACTTTCTTCTCACGGGAAACAAATTTCTCAATTGACAGCTCAACAAACTGAACCTCTGGTTTAAAGACGTGGGGAATCTACGCAAATAGTAAGCAGGATTTGAGGTTTATGGGTCAGAAACTGAAATTTCCATCAAGAGAAAACAACAGAACATGTAAGAGTAAGAGCCATAAAAGGGAGTCCCCACCATCCTGGGACTAGGATGAAAAGTGAAGCTATTTATGCCCCCATTCCGCATGTGTTTACTAATAGCCTTGCTCTTGGCTTGTTTCCGCAAGTATCCCTTCAGTTCAGTCCCTTCACAAGCTAAAACTAGTAATGGCCGTGAAGGAATCACTTGAACAAGCATTTAAGAGCACTTTAAAGAATAAATGCTATCAGGATCTTCAAGAAATTATTCAGCAGAGGACATCAGCAGCAACAATTGCCAACAAACATTTTTGGAAACCAAAGGATATCAACTTGTCCATCGTGCTTTCTTCCAGTTCTCCCCATGCGCTGAATCATTCTTAGTGGCGATACATTAGCATCAAAAGCTACAACAAGATCAACTTCCATGATATCAAGACCTTCTTCACCAATTGATGTAGCAACAATGACATTGTAGGCTCCACAACGGAATTTCTGTGGGTAAACGACGTAAGTATATGCAAGGACTGCAAAAATTATACCAAAAGGAATACATACCTGCAGCACTGCCTGTTGAACTTTCTGGGACTGACCTTTCATTGTTTTCCCTGGAATTCATTACATTGAATTTTAATATGTAAGAGGCGGTTTCACTGAAACAATGGGTAAGAAGGACGAAAAGACATCTCCCCAAAAAATAAAGATAAGGAAAAAAATGGAAAGCCGATAATAATTGATTAATTTTATCATGTCAGAGAAAGTTCAAGCATTCTTGACCATTACTATTACCGTATTTTTTAGCAGAGGCCAGAATTCCCTTTTAGATATGCTCTGCAGAATTAGTGTATCGAGCTTTGCTCTTTTCAAAAAGAAATTCATGCCCTTTCATGTACGACAAAATACAATTCAGCCCTCATGTTTTATTCGCCCACTTTTTCTTCTTCATGTCAACTTTTTTATCCCCTCTTTCAGGTTTACCACTATAATAATGTCAACTTTTTAGTCATATTGGGCTCAATAGAAGATATATTGCAAAGTTGCAATAATTGAAGCGGACATTTTATTTCATATCCCAATCAAGTTCTCTACATGGATAAACAGAACTATCATGATAAATACCTGAACTTTGACCAATAAACTGAGTAGCTCTGATTGGTTCCCCAATATTTGCTAGTGCATCCATTATATCCCTGATTATATCATTATACCACCAGTAGCTTTTAAAATTTCAGTAACTAAACAGCTTTCACCAATCATGCAGCATAAGATAATGAAACGAAGTTTATTTTACCTCACACTTTCCCTATAATTCGAGAAAATAATAACCCTAGAGCTCTGAGGATCATTGGCTTCTGCAAACACATCCAATAAGTCATACATTAATAAATATTGTAACTATTAACCAATGGATTAATAATTAATTAACTAATCAGATAATCATTAAATAAATAACGATCTAAACAACAACAACAAATTCTAACAACTAACTTATCCTCAAAGAAAGCTATAGAATCACTTCTCACTGCAACTAAAATTAATTTCCTAAGAGTGCCGGTTCCTTTAACCTTTTTTTCAGGTGGAAAGGTTCCTTTAACATTTTGACCCTGTGAAGATAAACACTTTCTCAATTTATTCTCCTAAAGTTTAAACTTACCATTTTGGTTACAAAGATTAGCAGTGCGCTTGCTAAGAACAAGCCTATTTACTTTCCAACTAGTAATGCAAAACCATTGATTTTTTCCCTCTCAAAACAAATAGCACAGCGGAAATTCGAAAACCATGACAAGTAAACATATTGTATATAGAATTTTGACACTTGAGAACAAAAGCTCTTCATACTGAAATGTTCCCGCAGTATTTCAAGCATTTTGGATAACTTGGGACTTGGTGCTCCATGAGATAAGTTTTGCTGCATTGACATCCTTGCTTTCAAAAGAACTTCGTTTTTACTCACATATTTTGCAAAAAATCTGGAACAAGACATGCACGTTCAGAACCATTGTAGTTGAAGCACATAAAATAACATATAATAAGCAAAAATATGTCTCTTAATTTTTTTCCAGACATCAGTCACAGATAATATAAAGTTGTGGTCATGAAAGTGGTGGAAAGACCTACCCTTGCTTCAATTTTCTTTCAAGCATCTCGTGCGCTGGCCTGATTCCATGACTTGAAAGTAGCTTATGGATGTAGTAAAGACTAATAAGAACTCCAAAATAGCCCTCAACATCTCCATTGTTGACACTGGAAAGATCTTGTGGAGGTGCTTGACGATACTTTTCCCGTATTTCAAGTAATTCACAAGGGCTCAACTGTAAGGCATTTAAAAAGAGAGAGGAAATTTGATGATTCCACCCCATCATCATGCTCTACCAAGATAGGAGATGTCAGCAATAAACTACAAAGTACAAGCTAAATACTATGAGACCTGAATCATGAGAATTTAGTTCATCTTCAGGGGAAAATATCAGATGTCTGAATTTAGAGTAATTATCAATGAACCTATGTATAAAAACCATTTCATCAGTCTCGCATGCCCTCAGGCCTCAGTTATAATTTTGCTTCCTTGAACAGCCTCCCTTACATCAATATTTGCCTCATTTCAATATAAAAGAACTTTTTACGACTTCTCATTAGTCAACATGACATAACTAAACATGTTGAAGATCATGTCTTCGGGGCACCAGTTGGCTTTCTGAAGTCTATAGACTTACTATTTTCGTTTGCTTTTCATTCTTACTGAGTGGTTGGTAGCAATATTTTATTGTTTGCATTCTGCTCTTATGTAGCTGGTTTCAGCGTATTTCATTTTAAATTTATATTCCTACAGGTTCAGTAATGATGAAACAAGATGTAATTTTATATTTTATAAGCTTACTGCTTAGGATCTAAAATTACAGAAAAGATTAAACTTTGAGTTTTACAAGGTATCAGATGCAGAGTGCTTTGCCCTCTAATGATTAATTTCAACACCTTACGAGCCATGAACGTGGAGAGTCATAACCCCATTCTAAAGTAACATATCCCAATCGCAGGACACAAGCTGGATGTGATCCCAAATACAACATTTGGATTATAGGAAAGAGAAATCATGCGTTAGTCTGTTTTCATTTGTCGCAACTAAAGGTAATGATTCCGTTACTAATTGACTTCCCACTGCTCTGTTTGTTCGCTGCTTAAGAAGCTGGATCATGCAAAGTGGTTTCAATTGCACCAATACCGTCCTAGACTTCCATCACGGTTTCATTCACATGTACCAAAGAATTCTGGTTGATAAGCAACGAACAGCCAAGCCAACTCTACAACCACCGTCTACACCAGCAACAACTCTCACAAGCGATCAATGCTTCTGGTTACCTTTGCCATCTTCACAACCTCTCTTCTTTCCATTTCAACTGCTTATTCCCCTTACTAGCCCACCACTATGTCACTCTAAGTACCTCAACATATTACGTCCCCTAGCAGACTCGGTTCTAACTAAACTCGTCACCATTTAATACGTAACATATACAAATCATTATCTTAAAAGTGATCAAAATGACAAGTCAAAACACAGGGGGCACGATAGAGCTAAAATCCAAATAGAACAGTCTCCCCTTGTGCACATGCATGTAGAGAGGGACCCCCAAAAAAAATCAGCACCCGCAACTTTTTCCCCTTCTTGTTCTGAGTAACATTGGAGAGTTTTAACCCAAACATCTGTTCAGTGTTCAGACACTACCTTAACTTGCTTGTTCATTATTTCTTTTCTCTGTGTATCTCCCTTCACATATTCCGGATGCAATTTTTCTTTCCCTTTTTTTTTTTTAACGTAGAGATCCGTAATGCTAATCTTAAGTTTATGGAACTTAAACAAGAGCAAAGCTATCTCAAAACAAGGAAGAATAATTCCCCAAAAAAAAGAAAAACATACGGTGCGGTAATCTCTATTTTTGAGGACTCCAATTGTCGAGAGGCGACCTACAATTGGGCGTATTACTTCCAAAAGCTGCTGGTTTATTTCTACCGCATCTTGACCCATTGCAACCTGGTAACATTTACATTTGCAAGCAGGACATCAAGTAAGCATCAGCTTGTGATTTTAAAATTCAGCTAAACAAAGCATTAGCTACCTGAATCAACTCTATCTTCCTTTTGTGAACATAGGAGATAACATCGGGATCATTTTCATTGCGATATTCAAGATTGGAGATATGCAGATTATCAATGACTTGCTGGACCGTTTGCCGCTTTGCTGAATTTTTAGCATCTAGAATTAGAACATGTATCATAAATGACTAACTAAAAAATACCGTTATTAATCACATGCCTCCCGGTGTTGCAGTTAAAGCCAATATTCGCAGCTGCACTGGCACAGCCATTAACTAACAATGACAAAATCACCATAGCCAGTCAGTCTCTGGTAACGTATAAAAAGGAATGAACATATACTAGTCAAAAAGTTGAGAAGTAATTCACCTCACGAACTACTTCACAATAAGAGTAATTTCCCATTGCTCTGTGGGCTTCATCAATTACCAAACATACCAAGTATTTCACCAAACATTTACCTAAAACGAATCATGTCATGAACAAATTAGAAATGGTATGAAATTTGAAGCATGATACAAATAACACAAAACTCACTAGAAAACTAGACAGTGCTAAACATCAACGGGGTAATCCATCTGATCTTACAACTAGACGGCCCTTATATGAATTCAGCGCCAAATTATAAAAGCCAGAGCCGATAGTCCGTAGGGTCCAGAGTTGACAACAAAATAATGCAGATTGGACAATGACAGAGTTTGTCAGTCAGCATGTGTTTTAGTATCTAACCCCATGACCTAAACAACATGGAAACTCAATAACAAAACAGACAGACAAAACTCCCGTTGTTATTAGTTTATTTTTCTTATGTATAAATCAATATATCTTCATTCCGCTGCGATCTTTTGAAAAGTCGCTTCGCCTTGGTGGCACTATCAAGAATCCATGATATTTATGCATTTTAGTTAAAACGTTGAGCTAATATAAATTGCTGCACATATATTTGGAAATTGTTAGTTTGCGAAGTAAACAGAAATGCCCTGAAGTTTAAGAACAAGATTGCTTTTGCTCCATTAAGAAGTATTAAGGATTTAGGAAAATCTTGCATCCTAAGAAAAGAGTTGCTCTTGATGCACCCAGTGTAAAGGCCAAAGGGCTTACGAATCTTTCTCAAACACCCCCCCTTCCCAAAACCATGGATTCTTTCACTGATATACTGTAGTCTCTTTTCTCCCTATTTCTAAATATTTTGTGACTCCGGTCTGTAGATGAAAAAGCTTTGACAAATATCTTTAAGGGGGAAAATACATTAACCTTCTCGGAGCTACGTAAAGGATAATTGCAAGTTTTGTTCATTAACTTCGAAGTTGTAACGAAGTATTCCACAAGTTAACGGGACTTAATTGCAGTATACAATCTCTCGTAAGCCAACTCAAGGGAACAGGAAAGAAATAATATCAAACAGTCCAATAACCATGCATCTTGCTTTTGCAGGGGAAGTTGACGTTAGTCACATTGCTTATCCGCCACTTTGGTCTTATCTAATAGAGTTGGCTTTTTACAAATCTTGTAGTAGTTCTTGATTAGTTTTCATTATAAAGCACAGGCCAACAGCTGGTCAAGATATACTAAACAATAAAATTATAAAAGTATCCAGAAAAAATAAGGAATTGATTTAAATATTCACCGGAATGAATATCTTTTTCCAACACTTGTGGAGTGACAAAGAAAACTCGTTTGGTTTTCCAAAAGCATGCTCTTTTAGCAGGACTTAGTTGACCCGTCATATCAATTGTCCATTCCTGCAATTATTTTCAACCAGCTACATTTTAATTTTAAATTATATTAAAAACAATTGAAATATAAAATTGCCCAAACAAAGACGGACAATTCAGCAAATTCCAAGGACAACCAGAAACAGTACTTACTTGAGGTATTCCGACAATGTTATGGCATGCTTCTATCTGTTGCATGACAAGTGGCCGAGAAGGAGCAGTAAAGACAATTTTCCCTAATGAGAAAGGACCAGCAGAAAAGGACATAAATGCTCCATAGTATAGCTTCCCGTTCAACTAAAAAACTAAACTGGGTAAATAATTAATACATAAGCGTTCATCTTTCAAAATCTCTGGCCATAGGAGAATTAGCATGCATACAACATTTTGCATATCTAACGCTAAACTTCCTTTTAGCTAGCCTTATCAGGAACTTTGTGACCAACATGAAATGTAACAAATACATGAATAACAGAAAGTGAAATTCAACTTTAACGTTTGTTGTTAGGATCTGAAACTCCGACAAAGCAAAACACTGACACTGACATAGACATTTCCATCTTTAAAAATCATACAACAAGAGTACACAACATATACATATATTCACACTAATGTCCATGAGCGAGCATGCACAAATGTTCATATTCAAATCCCACTTTAGCGCACTCCTTCCTCAGAAAAATAGGATGAGCATTGCCCTACATTCTAAATAACTTGCATTGCCATTTTACAAAAACAAATTTCTGAATAGAAAATTGTTACACTATTATTCATGTCATTAGAAATTTAAATAAAATTAGGAAATAAACTTAACTATCTCATTAAGATTAGGTTTCTACTCTCATTTTTTTCTGTTTTTCCTCCTACATTGGATCAACAGCTTCCTTGGGTGTACAAGCCAAAAAAGTAAACTTTCCAATAATCATGCTATCTCTGTGATACTTTATTTCCTCTTTATGATACTTTATTTCCCTGTTTTCCTCCTTGATTTATGAGATTGGCCGGCTAATTCCTTGAGTCATTTATCATAGTTATCATTTATCAAGAATAACATTATTTTGAGGGCAACTGTTTGCTTGATAAATCATGAGTCCCAGAAATTGGTCTTGCTTCTACGCAGTATAAAATATCAGATTACGAAGCTCTTAGCTGATTTCAATGTGTTCTTAGGTCTGACTCCAAACCTTTCTCCTTTTTGCCTCTCCTATGTTTCAGTGCAGTTTCTAAGTTGAAAATTTAACTTACAGAGCATGTCTTATAACTTATGTTGATTACTAGCTATAATAACACATAATCAGTGAAACTTATCAATATAAAGGATTCCACTTATAAAAAAATAGTTGGGACAAATCAAAATGAAAGGCTCAGCTCCTAAAACTTGGAAGGTCAATAAATGTAAAAAATTTGAGTAACAGACTAAAATATGGGTCCCTATCTCCTGGCAGTCAGATAATGAAGAACCACATCTGAGTTCTTGCTCATTTATTTACAGATGAGAAAGAAAGGTACGTGAAGAGTCAAAAAGCTCTCAAAGGCTAACCACACGATCGAAATATGTAAGGACATCATATGGCCAAAAAAATATGACTAAGCATGAGATACACGTTACCTCTAGGAAACCATCGGAAGTAATTGTACATGACCACTGCTGCAATCAGGGTTTTCCCAAGTCCTGTTGGCAATGCCACCAACGTGTTTGAAAATAAAGCAGACTTTGTTATAGCAAACTGGTAGTCACGAAGAGGAATATTGACTGCAAAAGTTAAAATAAACAGATTAGTTGCGAAAAAATACAGGAAGTTTGAATGCTGCATATATGGATTTCATACATAAGATAACAATAGCATCACTTGCACAATCAAACCTCAAATCAGAACCCAAAGAGAAAAGATCACAAGAAGAGCCAAAGATTTATGCCCGTTTGTTTCATGCTTGAGTAAAAAAACTCTAAAGCAGGCAGATAATTGTATTGGAATATATACCAAAAGTTTAATGGGTATTTGGATTCAGGAAGAGGTGGTAAGAGTCCATTTCAGCCATCCATCTGCAACTCATAAAATCATACCACATTGTCCAAAGAATAAAATGACTTTATACTGTCAATTTCACTTTTTTCAAATAACTTCATATTGTCTTAATTTCCTGATGGATGTGGCTCAATCCTATAGGTTGCGAATGGACAATTGTGATGAACTCTTTCCAATCCAAATCTTTTACAGGAGATGTTGAAAGGACTATTGTCAATGCATTGCCTGATAAATATCAACTATCCATATGTTGGTGCAAACCATGAAACCAACATATTGAGCCATAAACCACATCAAACAAAATAAAATGAAATAAAAACTTCGCCGCTATCGTTCACAATGTTCGTCAGTCATCCTCCAAGTAGAACATAAATCTGAACATTGACAATTGTATTCTAAGAATCCCACAAAATAACTCATTAGAAAGAAAGAAGAAAAGCCCCCCTAGTCACCGACAATGCACACCCACAGTGGCAAGTTGCAGTAAATCTTTCCACAGCACAACCAAAAACTGCGGCGAAAGAAATTACCCGAAACAATATTATCCACTCACATGCAGTCATCACCCAAAAGAAAGAAAAAGGGGGAGCTAAACAAGTTAGACTGGAAGGGAAATGGAAACCAAAGTCATTGTAACCTGGGTATATCCAAGTTTTGACTGCCTCAGCGTCGACCTCAATGCAGCTCGCCCCTTCATCTCCTACGAAGCAATCTTGCTCATTCTTGCCGATCTTGGGATCCCCAAGTTGAGGCCTTGGGGTTTCCTTCTTACCCAAAAACTTGTGTAAAGTCATCTGGCGCGAATTGGAAGTATCACCAACAAGTAAAGTGGTGGGCTTCGTGACTTGGCAAGCGACGTCGATTTTTCGTGCAGCAGCATCCCAATCAAAAGCCTAAAGAACAGAAGGAAACGGCGAGTTGGCGCGACGCAAAGAGAGAAAGAAAAGGTAAGAGTAAAAGATACTTACTTCGCCGTCGTCGCCGTCGTCAATGATTTCATAAGGATTAGCGGAAGACATGGAAGAATAAAAACGATACGCAGAAACAGAAATTGTCAAATTGATGACGATGGAGGCTCTCTTCCTCGATGAAGGCAGATAGAAACTGAGGAGAGAGACGAAATTACATATTGGCGGTAATATTTGAATGTCGATTTAAAAAGCTTCAATACAAAATATTTCGTCTTGTCCAAGATTTCGCCGTCCTTTTTATCTCTTATGTATTTTATAACAGACATTAAATTTAAAAATGCAAATTTTATTTTATAGCGCATGAAATATTAAAATACAATTTTTTAGACAATCTTGTGTGAGATAAAATTGCAACTAATATCATGAAAAACAGATTTATTATATCACTTTTCATTAATACAAAATGATTTATTATTTAACGGATCATCAGAATCAAAACCAAAAGTATTATACTCCTTCGGTACTTAATATAGGATCTAATTTTTGAATTGGTTTTGGTCCTAAATATAAAACTCATTTATCATATTTATCAATTTTTTCTAAATTATCTCTATAGATACTCCCTCAACCATAATTAAGTAGAAGAGGGAGAGGGAGTATGGTGTTTTAGGAAAAAAAGTCACTTTTCTTATAATTAACTAACTTACCTAACTTCCTTAATTTAATCAAATTAGTTAAATGGGTCTTATATTAAGGATCAGAAGAGTATAAAAATATTTTTATACTCATCGGGTTCTTAACATAGAACCTAATTGTTGAGTTGATTTTAGTTCTAAATATAAGATCTATTTATCATATTTATTAATTTTTCCTAAATTATCCATATGGATACTCCCTTAATCATAATCAAGTAGAAGAGGGAGGGAGGGGGGATATTAAGGAAGATGATTATGGTGTTTTAGGAAAAGCATGTCATATTTATTATAATTAACTAATCTACCTAACTTTCTTAATCTGATCAAATTGGTTAAATAAGTATTATATTAAAAACCGAAGTCCAGAGGAGTATTTAATACTTTAAAAAATATTTTAATAATGTATAATAAAAGTATTCATGTATTAACCCATGTCCTTTTTACTTTTTTGATATAAAAATTTTAGGTAAGGGTCAGAGTTGATCCCAGACTGAAAAATGGAATCAATAATGTATACGTCCCTCTAATTTTAATTTTAAAAAAACCTGATCGTTAACAAAAGCAAGTTCTAACAGAGAAAACTAGAAGGATGACGTGGATGTCTTCTTTGTCAAGATCAATGCATTCTACCATTTCTTTCCCAGCAAAGTCGGATGCCACAGCAAAATCAAATATTCCTAGAAAAACTTATCTTATAGGTTTAGGTACAGCAAAATTATAAGAAACAATTAAATAAAGAGATAATTACAATAAGATCCTAAAAAAATTCTAAAATAAATTCTAAAAATTGTCATTTTTTACTTTGAAATTGTTAATAGTTATTACAAACTCTTTAGGTTGTTATTAAGATATTTTAGTAATTACTTTTTTGAGACCTTATTGTAGTTTTTCCTTAAACAAATTTGTCCATCCAAAGGTCACAAAAATAGCTAAACAAGATAACCTACTGTATTTAACTCAGTTCTCAATAACATTCACAACGTAGCAATTAGTTTCGTGGCCCGTATTAAAACCTTTTTAGAAAATCTATAATATAAGAGAATTAGTCACTTGCTATCGGTAGTAAATACCCTAGACTTGACAAAAAAAAAATCATTTTCTTGCAACTCAAGTGTTTAAAAAGATTTCAAATAAATATATATCCTTAAAAATGGACACTTTATTATACTAGCTCATTTATGATTTAATGATTATGTAAATTTGGCACAAAAATTAATTATTAATAATTAAATAAATAGAATATAATTTTAAAAATAAATGAGAGACGTAACAATTGATTGTGTGTGTGTGTGTGTATCCAAATATATCTAAAATAGAATAAAAAAGTATAACTTCTGTCTATCATCTATAATAAACTCAGCAACGAAACTTACTTGTTTCAAAGAAACTCGTGAGTTTAAAAATTAAAACAATAAAAAATTTGGCCAATTAGGCCACCTTGTGAGCCAGCGTGCTCCATGGGCCTAATGACTGAAGTTCAGTTTAAGTTATTTTGCAGACTATTCGGACTGCAAGTTTTCTAAAGCTACCCAACTTTTGTTGGGCCGAACAGGTCTTCATGTCCAGCAACAACTTTGCATGTCATTTTGAAGTAAAACAAAAGAAAAAAAGATATTGCTTTTCATCAAAATAAAAAAGATATTGCATGTGTCAACGAATTTTCATGTTGGTATCCAGATAAAAACCAAATCATGATTTTAAAAATAATTTTACAGTATATAAAAAAAAAGTTTCAATAAAACACAAATTAAAATTTTAAAAAGTGATTTTAAAAGTTTTACCTTAAATAAAAGCATTTTTTAAAAATGCTTATTAGAAAACCAAACAACCCCGAAATAAATATGCAAGAGTTGTATAAAAATATTTTTTAAAAGTACTCTTTGCCCACACCAAACACCCAACAACGAAAGCCTTTTCATTTATCATCTTTACGCTCATCATTAACTTATGTGCTATCAATAATCTAAATTGTAAAATTAAGTAATATCCACTTTTTCTTTGGCTGCCACTCCAAAAATAGTAAAGACAACTCACAACAATCATGAATTACAAATCAACCATAAGATACACTACCAATCGATATTTCATTTCTGATCTACGAAATTACAGGCACACCAAAGCGCTTCCCCTATCATAAGCATCAACACGCCATAATGCACATCATTGTTCAACCCCTACTCGTCTATTGGAAGGGAGAAAAATGCTGTGACTCTTCCCAATACACTAATCCATGGCAAGTTCCATGTACTTGTACAGTACATCCCAGGCACAAATAATATTTTGCACCACAGAAATACACAATAAAACTTAGAAGAGACGAATGGTACAAACATCTAACAGACATGATTGATACACCACTCTCTTTCCAGCAGAATATCGTGTCGTTGAGGTAGGTATATAGATTTGGCATTCCTTTCAATGAGCAGGCTCCATCAGGCAACAACTGGATCATCTTTCTGTCAAAAGATTTACACATGCCCAATTGGTCTAGACAGGGTGAGAGTTTGCGCGCGCGCGCGCATAAGCAGTAAAGAAACTGCTCTTTTCCATGTCCTTGAAAGTGGACACAAATATAATTTGCACATACCTTTTAAAATAGCCCAGCCTGGGGTTGACCTGAATTCATTAAGGACGATCCCTAATGGAGACCATAGCTCGTAGCAGGACCCTAACGGAGACCATAGCTCATAGCAGGAATGATCCGCCCCAAAACTTCGAGGAATTATTGCTGTTGTAGTGGTCCGTAATCTGTCAGTCACGCAAACCTAATGCAATGAAAAGCAAAAACACTCAAAAAAGTATATCAAACATGATTTTCTTACGCCAATGAGGTTGAACATGTTCTATGAAGGTTAAAATAATCTATTTAACTATCAGATAATTGAGAGACCCTAACAATATATTATCCCTAGGCCATGCTTTTATTTATTTATTTTTCTTCGTTGAAAACAGTTTTATTGGAATGAAGAAAACAAAATATATTCTGAAGTTTTTTTTTTTTTGGTGAACATATTCTGTAGCATGTCATCCATATTTCTGACATTCACATATATCTTGCTACAAACCGCCAATTTTACATAATATTTTCAGAAAGAACAAATTTTAAATCAAAGTGACAGCTTAATCACCCAACTAACATAATAAGCCCTCAATTTTTTATAGAAGGGACAAGAAAGGAAACTAGATGCAAACAATACTGTACATACCACCTTTAGATATTTTATGACCCTGAAGAAGATTTCTGAATCCACACTTGCTTCTGCAGAAAAAATCAGCACTTAAGTGACGGTCCATGAAAAGATGTAATAAAAAATAACATTGATAATGGTCACAACAATATTAAGAATAATACTTCATTATTTCACTTTTCATAATATAAGATGTTTTCCAAAAAAAAAAAAAACAATGATGCATTAATGAACCTTACCCTAAAATACCCTTTATAATTTAATTACTGGAGAGAAAGTGTGCGTTAGGGGTTAGTGTCAAATGAGGGGTACTTTTGGATGTTTCTACTCCTTGAAGAAATTAAAAAGATAAGATTCTCAAGTGAATTTAATTGCCCTTTGGTCTTTGCATTTTTTGAAAGAACAACTTATAAAATGTAACGGAGGCAGTAACAACAATAATGATAATTACAACACCACCACCAAAAGTTGTATTTGTATCAGCATACAAAATCATTGTAGCCAAGTCGTAATATTGCCATGAATTGGGGGGGAAAATATTTTAGAATAATGAATCAGTGAACACATCAATTCATAAGATTCAATTTCCATGTAAGTATATCTTTATAATATGCATAAAATACCCACGATAGTAAATTGAATCCAAGAGTTGATTAAATTAAACGTAAATCATAAATAGATTACAAATTGTAAATAATTAATTCTCAAAACAATGTCTCTCTTCATTTATGAGGCATAACAACACTAAACAACAATACAACACAGTCATGCAATTTATTATTCTCATATTCCTGGTCAGAAAAGTTATATGTTCTCTGTATCAAAATAAAGAAAAGTTATATGTTCTATTGGCTTGGATTGAACGATTCATGACCAACTCAGCTATTAATTAATATTGTTGGTTACGTGACTCACCATAAATTGTACAATTCAAATTGTGAAAAGCACCATTCAAAGCTTCTTTCAATTCAACCAATGTTTCTTATCATTGACTTTGTGGTTGATAACAAATTATAAGATTTGAATCTTGAATACTAAGATTCTGATTACTATGTATAGAATACATACCTCATGAGCCCCATGCCCACTTACAACTTTCTTAGAAGGTTTTGCTTCACTTAAGCTGACTGCAGCATCATCCTTCACTGTATGGGCAGCTCCACGACGAACAAAATGTCTTTGAGAACCTGGAGTTTAGTTGAAACATTGAACCAGAAATCAAGGCATGTATATTCTAAGGTATATTGATGAAATCAATCATAAAAAACACCAACCATTCTCAAGAAAGGAACTATTACGACCACCAGCAGAGGCTGAGTATTCCCCCTTTCTGTTTCCAGAAAAGACATCATCTCTCATTTCTCCTGCAGGCACTGGAAAATTACAGGCAGATAATGACATGAAATCTGTCGGCTTTATATTGAAATTTAAGCAAGGAATATGAAAACAAACTTGATTGGCCAAGCAAAATATGTTGTCTTTGCAATGAAAAACAATTTAAAGCCAACTCAATGGGCGTACCTTCAACTGATTCAGGATGTGACAGGGTAGATTGAGACACGGAGGATGTTGAGTGCTCGTTAACAGGGTGAGAAACATCAGATCGACGAAGAGGAGTCCAAACAACACGATCAGGTCTATCCTTGTTTCTAGCACGTCTTTCTGCTTTTTCACCGCTGCCCAAACCATGCAGATCCCTTTTTAAGAACTTCTCATCCAACGGCCTTTTAGAATCCCCCTCAGAATTAACTTGGCCTGCATCATGATTGGAGACTAGACCATTTGTCCCAGACCGTGCACTTATATTCCGAGGTGGCCGCTTACCATTCTCAGAACTCAAGATCTGAACTTTCTGTTGAGCAGAAGTTGCAGACTGGCTTTGACGAGCTTCGTTATTTAGAAGTATGCTCCTAATCAATCTTCCACTAGATTCGCGTCTCTGGTTTTGCTTTGAAGCAGTGGGAACAGCAGGATTTCCAGATTGTACACTTTGCTGTTGTGCCATACTCTCGGCAGCCTAAGAGGGTACCACAAAAATACATAAAATCACAATTTCTCAAAGATGAGAAAATAAACGTAAATTCAACACACAAAATCAAACTTCCATTATTTATCTTAATACAAGAAAATTTTATTAGCAGAAAAATCATATAAAAAGACACTAATTAGAATTGAGGAAAACTCTTCTTAAAAAAAAAAAAAAACCTACATTGAGAATTTCTCGTTCTTTCCCTTTAACCAGCAGGATTTTTTTCTTTCCAGAGCCAGCAGGCAGAGGGATGGCTGAGATAGGTCCTTCAAATCCATGCGCTGCAAATTCATCAAACATGAGATTTTTTTAATGGATAAAAGGAATCTTTACACAAGCACGTGAAGAGGAAGAAGATGAAGAAGAAGAAGGATGGTTTTTACAAAAAGGAAAACATATGAAGTCCTAAATAAGAAAGCAATCAACAAAGAAAAGATGTTCAATCCCATTGCATATTACAAATGGTGAATCCCTTAAGAACATGTAGTGGCTGAATTATCTTATGATAAATAAGTAACTCAATTACCAATGTGCACTGTTTATCTTATTGAGACTAGGTGATATAAAGTGTCCAGGTCCCACCTCATAGATCTTAGGGGAGCAGGGTTTCACATCGCACTTAAGTAACCATCATTTAGCATTGGAGCCTGACGGTTGATGGTTTTGGAGAGAGCTGCTTACGGAGATTTCTCAATGGTGGAGGTTTTTGACATGAGAAGAAGTTCAGGAAGTGTCAAAGTGTAGCTGTCAGAGCATCAACTATCCAGAGGGGTCAATTCATGGAGATTAAGGTAGTAGGGATGCGCACAGACAGGCTTTGCACTTGACCCTAAGTCCCATGCAGATTAACCTAATAGTCCATCATGTTCGGACATACCTTATTGGATCAAGCCAAGTTATGTTCTGCAACTTAGAAATTCCAACGCACAAAATCCAGTCCATTTGAAGCAAGAAAATAAATCACAAAAGAGGAGGAAAAAGAAGAAGCAAATAAATCACAGCAACTTGACACCGACAGACTATTAATATTTTTATTATATTTGCTGTTACATACTCCTGCACAAAAACACTCTAGGCTAAATATTGATGGACAAGCCCACCAATCACTGTGTTGGAAACCTAATTTCACCTAAGAATGGGAGCTCAACAAACATCAAACTCCTAGTCAATTGATTATCGAGGCTCTAATACCATGACAAAAACTATTTCAACTCTCTTTTCATTCAGGGGGTGTCTGGCTGTTGATTATTTCCACTCAAGCTTGAGCAAGTTGCTAGTTAAAAGTCCACATCCATGATTAGCTTTTGTTATATGCTCCAACTCTCCAACAATCTCTATTAAAGAGGAGAGGAAGGACCCTTTTGCAAAATAAATTTCATGAGCTTTAAATAAGATAAGTTGGAGGCAACAATCTAGGAATAAATGAGCCAAGAACAGGGATCTAAGCACATTTGTTTCAAAGAGAGACAACTATTACAAGGACAAAACTGATAACAGAATTGGCATTTGATAATGGACTCATATTAAAACAATGAGTAACATTTCTATAACTCATTTCGTGAGTCCCTATAAACAAAGAAATACTACAGCGGAGGCTGATCAATCTGGGCCCAAAAAATAGGGATACAGAGAGATACAACGAGAAAAAATAAAATTCTATAAAATCTGTAATAAATGTAAATCTTCACATATTAATTATTGGATTTCCGCAACATCTCCAATTAAAGAAATTATATTACCAGCTCCAATTTCAGATATTGCTTTTGAACTAGATGCAGATGGTTGATCTTGTCGCCGGGGAGCCCCAGTAGAGCTTGATTTGTCTTTCCGATTACTACTTTTGGCATTGTCCTTCTGAACATACTGAAACTCAAAAACGGAGTCAATTGATCCACCATTCTTTGCAAGCATACATAGTGCGTTTTCCTTCAGAAATAAATTAAAGAAACAATCTAAACAATAGCCAATGACTAAATATATCTAAAACCTATTAGCTTAAATCTAAAATTAAAATCCATAAAGCAACTACGCAACAGACAATTGAATATACAATGATTAAATTTCTAAATTATTTTTTCATATATTGCATGTAATCACATTTATTATGACAAGTTTATCATGTTACTTTCGTGAATTTATCATTCCATTAGAGATCTGGCAGTTCCGGATTTGTTGCCAATGCTACCTATTTCTGAGTCCTATTTGTCCTAGGTCCTTATGGCCAAACTTCGCTGGGCACAGAAAAGCTTTTCAAGAATAAGAACCGCTTCTAAAAGAGAAGTTGCTTTATCCTGATGACCTCATAACTGACATAAACCTTACTTAGATATTGATAGACCACTAGCTGGCCTGTGAGAGGACTGAAAGAAAAGAAGTGTATGTGGCTGAGGAAGCTTGTAATGAGCTGAGCAGAGGGTCCAATCAGGGAACACATCCACTAACTACTTACGGTCATGAGGTGTAAAATAAACTGAGTATGAAGGTTTGAGGATTTTATCAGGGCCTGGGTAGTGAAAGGATTGAGGAGAATTTGCACAAACTTGGAAGAGATGATGGCCTCTCAGAAGCCAATGATGGTCCCTACTCTATCTTATTTTCATTTCTGCTACTATAGTTTAGCAAGCTACCTTCCTCACTCTGATTCCCAGTTAGAGCAGCAGTTAACATTGTCCATCTACTTAAGTAATGCTAGTCTTCTAGGGAAGTCCATCAGATTTTCTTCGGAAAAAGCAATTGTTAAGTGTAAATGGATCTCTCAAAATAATCAATAAATTGTGCAATGACATAAAGAGGCACAATCTGTAATATCTTTGGTGTAAGGTATTTAACATATTTCATCCAATTTTTCCTGCAATGAACCCAATAATACCACACATGCATTATATTGAAAAGTCCCACCTTTTTCTTCTCTCGTCTAGTATTCTCTGAGGCAGGCTTGCTGGATGAAGCCGCCCTGGCTCTTCTGCTAATTTTTGTCACAACTGGTGAAGCCTATCATAAATCAGTAAAAGCAACATAAGAATAAATGTTATATCCAAGTTACAATGAAAATCTTGTTTATTATGTATAATTTGAACCAAAAAGTAGGTAGAGACCCAGCTACAGCCTAGAATAGTGATGCAGCATAATAAATGATAAACAATACTAGAATAATCAACCTTTATTAGATATGCAGCCATAGTTCTGTCAGGGGCTGCTCAAAGATAAGCAGTTAAAACAGGGATTTTCAGCTTTATAAATCTTTTTCCAAGAGTATATCACATTCTCTTCATTTGCATATCTTCTGTTTCTCAACATCATTGTTTCCTTTATTCCCAAAAGCCATGCTAATACAATGTCACAACTCATGGGGGCAAAAAAAAAAAAAAAAATCATTTGTATAGATAAATTTCATCTTCTGTGGAAAAACAGGACCCCACACACAATGCATCCCACCAAGAGAAGATCCTTTGGCCAGACTTTTGCGAAAGGGAAATTCATCAGGGTCACATTTAATTTCAATTATACAAATATGTATGACACCTTAATTATACCATGTGCCTCCCAGAATCATTACCTGTGCGCCATTCCCAACTGCACGCTTTTGACGAATATATTCCATCAATGGAGTGACAATTGGTGCTTCCTTGGCAACCCCTAGAGAGGAAGAGACAAATATTAGACACAATGCCACAACAATCTGTCATCATGAGATACTTCCTCAGGGGCAATGCTCTTTTCTAACTAGCTTTATCACAATCCTTCTAACAAGAACCTTATAAAAAAGGTAAAAGTTGAGGTAAATATAAGTCTGTGTATTTATTGGTGGATGCCACAATAAATTGATAACTAACCAGCTTGCTCAGCTTCTTTTCTTTCCAACTGTATTTCCGCACTAGGAAGATGCTCAGGAGGTTTTGCAATAACTTTGAGAAACTCAAGGTAGTCTGGATCTGTTCTTGTTTCAAAGAAAGTAGTCGTTACCATCATTAAAAGGGTATGCACTCTAAGTCTGACTAGCATTAGAATTCCCACATTAAATAACTTAAAATCATAACGAAAGTAACACCTTTATATATAGTCCCTTCACGACCATCCTTTTTGGTACTCAACTTTGGAACACGCTGGAAAGGTGCATATTCAACAATGGCCTTGTGTTGGGCACCTGAAAATGGATCAGACATCCACAGCATGAAAACATTCACAATAAGTAAAAATGACAAGAAGGCATAACAGCAGAATAACTGTTAAGTACTTTGAACCAAGTCAAATATGGCATCTAGGAGTTGTCAATTAAAATTAAGAACACCGTAACAACAGCTTTGTGTCAAAATTAATTGGACCGGCTCATTCTATATGCATAATGAGACAATGCAATCCACTCCAAAGGTAAATAAGCATATGGCAGTTTTGCGCTCAAATAAATTACCTTTCTCATTAACAAAGACATGTCCATCAAAGAATTCAGCAAACTCAAAAACATCTTCAGCACAATTGAAGTTTATGTATGCACGGGAATACTTCTGATGCTTGTAACTGCAAATGTTAATCAACACAAAGCTCCATATGTTAAAAATTCCTTAAGGTCTTAGTTGCGTTATAAGAAAAGAAAAATATAAGGCAGTCAGCAGACGCAGAACATCCAAAATATGTGTACTTTTTAGAGATAAAAGGTTCAGAAGGTAGGCACTGGGCAGATATCCAAGCCTTTCGTACCAATTCTACTAGGAATAGTGTCCAACATTTTTATTACCCAAGGATCCCCAGATGTTCTAGTTTGGTCAAAAGTGAAGGGAAACAAAAGGCCTGCCAATAAATGAATGACCACCTACTTAATTATAAAATCACTGTAACCTAATATCTCAACAAAAAATTAATACAGAAGTCAATACAATTGCATATGTCACAGTTGAAATATCTGTACCGTGAAAACTACATTAGAAGAAGATCACCAGTTAGTTCTCTAAACGTCTTGCTAACTTTATAGGTCTTTCCCCTTTATGCCACTCTTTGCTAAAATTATCTTGATTACCACTTCTAGACTTAGACAAAGTCTCAGAATCAGTTCTTCTACCGACCTTTATATCTAATATATAGGCTTGAAAATGAAAGAATGAATTTAAATTTGATAAAGATAGAACATTTACTCTCCTTCCTTCGGTTTTATATCTAAAATATAGGCTTGAAACAGAAAGAGTGAATTTAAATTCGATAAAGATAGAACATTTCTTCTCCTTCCTTGGGTTGTTCATCTGACAATCACTCCACTAACTGGCTACATTTCGCTCATATTTGCCAATTCTCTTAAGAGATTGTCAGAGGGCTTCAGATAAAAAAGCTCTTGCATTGCTGTTGCACAACTCCAGACATCTTCTGTGCGTCTTTGTATTTCAATGGTTAACACCAGTGATGGACAATTAAATTGTTCACATTATATACTATTGAAAGAAAAAAAAACCCATCGAATTGCTCTTTTTATGAGCCAATAACAGTACGACTCCTTCTTCAAACACCATCTAATGCACAAGGCTCGTAACAATTTCAAACTGACTCCCATTTGCCCTTTGTTTATAAATAAAATGTTAGTTACCTTGTTTATCTCTGTTTCGCCAAACTAGACAGACATGTGTTAAGATGTTAGCTTTACCTCAGTTTGTTCATACTAGATGAGACCTTGTATTCAAAGTTCTTCAGCAGGTAGTGAAGGGGCAAGAGAGATCTGAGTCTAAGTAATGACAAGATGATACAAGCTAATTTGGCATATCTTGACTTTTTTTTTATAAAAGAAATAACATTCTGATAGGGACGCTTAAAATCAGCACTGCACTGTCGCTAATACATGATTCACGACAATCCATAGAACGGTTATCACAAGAATATGAAATCCCCGTCTATTCATTTTGCAGAATGAAGGGCAGGGTTTAGTTTATATGGTCTTTTGGCTTATGAAATGCAAGCAAATGAATAGGAGACAATATATTTAATACAGCTAAAATAATAAACAACTGAAAAAAGTACGGCAGAAAATGCAACGTAGGCGTATATCATAATATATTTAAGAATTAAAATTATCATGAAATAATATACCAAATCCTCCACTATTCTTCCTAATTATCTACTTTCTAATTCTCAACAGAAGGCTTATATGGGACCAAAAAGAATAAACATGAGTGTTGTTATAGCTATAACGTATTTTTGAAGCAAAATATAACATTAACTAGACTGTTGGGCCCCAAGCCACACTATTCATTATTTGCAGACAATGTGACTTATCATATATTACGCAAGCACAAGATAGATACTTCTTTCTGCTATTTTCATAAATAAAATACAATAAATTATTACATAAATTCCCAATCTACCAATCCCCTCCCCCGTCATCTGGTAAATTTTATCTCCTCTTTCAAAAGTTAAGATTCAAAGATCAAAATTGAAATCACGATCTCCCTTTACCATCTTCTTAGTTTTTAATCTAATTATTATCTTCCTCCCACTATCCAATAGGCGATAACTCATCTTACCCTCACCATCTTCTTTCATCAGAATATGCTACTCTCGCTCATGACCAAACAAAAAACTCTGGCAGACATTGTGTCTTTCTTGTTTGAAGGAATGATCTCATCTGTAGACTCTCCTAGATGGCTCGCGTACTCTTTTTGATGGTTTGCATAAGCAACTTATTACTTCTAGTATGAGAAAACCCTGTTCTGCATAAAAACTGGGTGCCAGGTATTGCATGTTTTGTCGTGCAAACAACCCATGGTTGGGATTAGAGGTCCCAAAAAGGAATTCGGCACCAAGATTTCCAAATAGGTAATGCCATTTGAAATATCAATTAATTATTGATTAGTTTCTAATGACTGAGACTTCAAACAGATCAACAGACTTCGAAAGAAATAACCAAAGAACTATAGCAACAGTCTAACAACAGAGTAAATAAAACATTAACGCATAAAATGTTTTGTTTCAGGGGCTTCAACATTTACTTGGCAGTGAAATTGAATATATAAAGCATAGCTTATAATCATAATTCATCTGGGAAGTCTGTAACATCCACTAGATCATGCTAATGTCATTCTCGAACAGTTAATGTGTGTATGATGAATATACAAAATGAGCTGTTCGACATTCTTAAGTTATTCTCATCCCCCCACCCAAAAAAAAAGAAATCCGAATGTCGTACTTCACTTAGCTCCTCGTGAGGTTTGCTGCCTCTGGGACGTTTTTCACAGTTGTCTCCCTTTACCCATACAGAAACCTATTGCGAATATATTCAACAACTACCGTTTTCTTCTGATGAAGAAATTGTCAACAGACAGGAGGTCATGGGCTCCACACCCCAAAATGACATCAGACAACAAAATGCATTAAAAAAGGTATTTTCAAGGAAAACACACTAACCAGAAATTAGTTTTGGAGATTTAATGGATTCAGATGTCTATGGGTGACAGAGAAGACATGAAAAACGAAAAAGAACGTGAAAAATAAAACCAACATGAAAACAGAAAAGTTTCTTTATGGAAGGGGGGTAAAAAAATCTAACCTGTTCTTTCCGGGACGAAAAGAGAACCAATTAAACCGACCAGCAAAGCGATCATCAATTTGTTGGAGGAGATCGGACTGAACCAGAGACGGAGGCAAATGCCTAATAACCACTTTAGTCCTTTCCGGAGGAGCCTTCATCTGAAATTCGAATGAACGAGCAATTCTGGATCATGGACGAGAGAAATTTTATGTGAGTTATTTTGCGGATTTGTTGAATTAACAAGAAGAACAGACACTTTTTGTCCTTGAGTGACTCGCTTTGTTTCGCTGTCTTTGGAAATTCAGAGTGGAAAATTTGTCAAAATAAAATCCGTTCGAGAAGCACAGCGAGGTCGCGGAGTCAAGGGGCCAGCCACTCGTGGGCCCGCTATTGGAGAGGCCCAACTCGGAGTGACTCGGTGGCCTAACCCAGGAAGGACCTCAGAGTCAACCACATTTCGAAGCACATAACCGACAGAAAAATACCTATCAAATTCTTAAAAAAAAAAAAAACAAATAATTTATACTCACTACTCTTATAATAGTTTTAACTATAGTTGTAATAATTTTTACTACTCAAAATCTATCCAAATTACCTATTTATTATTTTAAAATTTAATAGGTATTTTACCTTCTTTTCTCTATTCATATTTCTCATTCTTAAGTTTTGATGTTAGGGGGAAAAAAACAACTTGTTAATCTCGATTCAAAAGTTTATAGTGTGTTGTGATGTTGTTATTTTTTAGTCAAAATTTATTATTTAATACCTATTAAAATGTAATCAATATCCATGCATAAATTGCCAATAACCTAAAAAAATGGTTTTGTTATTTCGTAATTGAAAAGTAATACCTATTAAAATGTTGTCGATGCTTATATAAAAGTTGTTAATAACCAATAGTCAAAACTAAATAATTAACTTATACCAAAAGGATAGAAAAATTAATTGCCAGGGGAAATTATTCCCACACTCTCCCGTAACAAACGAGTCCTAAGATGCCAGGGACAATGTTCAAAGGTTTCAGACTCTGACAAACCAAGCTTGGCCATATGATTATGCTCTCATGACACGAACGAACTGTAATTGAAGATTCCAGTCAAAGACCAACATACTTCTCCAGTCTTTAATATATGACTTAATTATGAAGTTGATTTTAGTTCTAGATATAAGACCTCTTTTTCATATGTATTAATTTTATCTAAATTACCCTTATGGATACTCCCTCAACCATAATTTTTTTTTTGATACAAAGGAAAACAAAAAAACAAACTGAAAGGAAAACTAAACGCAGAGGCAATTAGCCGATCCCATCAGATGGGAGTAAGGTGAGCACAGTATCAAGTCCAAGGAGTTGAAATCCAGGATTTTCCGAGAGAGCGCGTTTGGCAAGCATATCCGCCATATTATTGTCCTCCCTATCTATGTATTGGCATTCAACTTTCTAGTCTCTATCCATCATTGTTTTAATCTCCATGATGATGTTCCAGTCTTTATGCAAGTCAGGAACGTTTCCTCTAATTAACGCCAGTGCCTCCTACGAGTCGGATCTGAGTATAACATCGCGAAAGCCACCATCCCAAGCTCGCCTTAGTCCGAGCAAACAGCCCCAGAGCTCCGCGGAGAGTGGGTCTCCAGCTTGATGACTTGAGAGGAAGCCTTCCAGGATTTGTCTCATACCGTCCATAATGACACCACCGCACGCAGCTATGTTTCTCGTGTAAGCGAAGGCCCCATTGACCTCGATGATAGTTTTTCTGGCCACATCCGAAACAGGGGCAGTGAGGGGCTGTCGGAGATTGGCATTCAGGTTTGTACCTCTCAACTTGTTGGAGGCTTGGGACATGCTATCCAAGATAACCTTAGCATGATCATAAATTCTCTTAGTCCTCTCTTCCCCATTTGCATGGATTACTTCATTCCGATTACGCCATATAAGCCAACAAATGATGATGAATAGCCCCTTCCAGTAACACCCACCCCTCTCAGTTTATTTTTGAGGTTTAGTCGAACCCAACTTTCGAGAGACCCTGAGAAGAATCGATCATGCATGGAGAGACAGATAGCCGACATCCATATCAACTTAACGTATATACAATCTCTGAGTGCATGGATCGCATCCTCCGGATGAAGTTTACATCTATCACAAATGCCGTTAGAATGTAGGTGACGTCTAAACTTGAAATCATTCGTGATAAGGTGATCATGAGACATCAACCACGCGAAAGTCTTGCATCTTTGAGGGATACGGAGTTTCCATATATCAGTCCAACACCTTGAAAAACTGCTGACAGCCGAGTTTAAGCTATTATAAGCAGACTTAGCTGAAAAGACACCACTTCTGCTCCATTCCAGCGAGCCCGATCCTCCCCATTTCTATCTTTCAGAAACTGTATCCCTTCTTCCACCCTATTCCAGGTCCGTTTAATACCACTCTAAATATTAGAGCCAGTTTTCTTGGAGTTGATGGTTGGGAGAAGGTCGTTGCCACAGCCGTACTTGCCTCTCATAACCTTAACCCATAGCAAATCATGGTTATTCACTAAGCCCCAGCCTAGTTTCATCATGAAGGCGTGGTTTTGCTGCTTCAAATGTCTCATCCCAAGGCCTCCAGCTCTTTTTTCTTTACAGACTGTTTCCCAAGCAATAGGATGCATCTTTCGTTTTTCCTCAGAAGACCCCCACAGGAAGTCGCAGGACTTCTTTTCAATATTGTCGCAGATAGTTGCAGGAAGGTTCACTGTTTGCATAGGTTATGACGGAATTGCAGTGATGACTGATTTCACCAAGGTGTCCCGCCCCGTAAGAGAGAGTCGAGATGTAAGCCAGTTGTTCAATCTGTTGCGTATTTTGTCAAGAATAAAATGATACGTCCCAGAAGTGATGCGATTATGATGTAGAGTCACACCAAGATATCTTCCAAGGTTGTCCGTTTTAGTAAAGCCCAAGGCTTCGCTCAACTGGTTGGATTTGTTGTGGTTAATGTTCCTTGAGAAGAAAATCCTCATTTTGTTGGCATTAACCTTCTGGCCCGAAGCAATACAAAAAACATCAAGACAGCTCAGGATAACCTCTACTTGGTCCATGCTTGCTTCTGCAAAAAGCATCAAGTCATTAGCAAAGAATAAGTGAGATATAGGAGGGCCATTCTTACCCAGCCTAATTGGCTTCCATGCTTTATCAGCTACTTTCTTCTGTATAATGTGGCAAGTTTTTCCATAATAATTACAAAGAGATAAGGAGAAATGGGGTCTCCCTGCCGAATGCCACGAGAAGGCTGAAATTCCTCAGCTTTGCTACCTTCCCAAAGGATTTGCATTGAAGGGGTTGTGATGCAGTATCGAATTACTTCTCTCATGGAAAGCGGGATATTTAACTCTTCTAGGAAGTTGAGAATGAACTCCCAGCGAACACGATCATAAGCTTTCTCCAAATCAATTTTGATCGCCATGAATCCCTTCCTACCCTGTATGTTCCGCATAGAATGGATCACCTCTTGAGCAATAATTATATTATCTGAACTGTTTCGCCCCGGAACGAAGCTGCATTGGTTTGGTGAAACTACCTGGGACATGCAAGGTTTCAATCTATTAGTAATAATTTTTGTAATTAATTTATAAATAATATTACAGAGACTAATAGGACGAAAATCCCGAATGGTTTTCGGGTGCTCCCTTTTTGGAATGAGTATAATGAAGGTATGATTCAGCCTCTGAATGCTGCGAGGGTTCGCAAAGCATTGTTTGACTACTTTAGTTACAGAGTCCCTGATGGTGTCCCACTAGTTTTGGTAGAAGAGGGCATTTAATCTATCTAGACCAGGTGACTTAAGAGCTCCCATTGCAAAAATAGCATCCTTTATTTCCTCATCAGAGATGTCGTTATTTAGCGAACTGAGCAATAGATGATCGAGCTCCGGGTAAGTGAAACTATCAATCAAAAGGTTGCTGCTTTGTCCATCTTCCGTGAAAAGATTAATGAAGAAATTAGTGGCCAAGGATTTGATAGTCTAGGGATCATCAATCCACTCTTCATCGTTGTTTTTAATCGCTTCGATTTTATTTCTTTTCCTTCTGCCATTGGCTCTTGCATGGAAATATTTGGTATTTTTGTCTCCCAAGGAGTACCAAGAATTTTTAGCTTTTTGAGCCCAAAGTATTTCCTCCTGTATAAGAATGTCTTCCAATTCTAGCCAAAGGCGTCTCTGAAGAGAGTCAAGAGAGGAGGAGGACCCCAAATGGTTCTGAACTCTAGTGATGCCATCAAGACGCGCCATGAGACGAGATCTTTTCCTTCCTAGATGGCCATAAGTTTCATAACTCCAGCTGGTGGCATCCGTAATAAAATTATTAACATTATCTTCCCACTCTTTATTTTTGTCCCAAGCCTCAATGACCATACGGGAAAAGTCTTCATGCAACACCCATGAAGCCACAAAACGGAAGGGCCTTTCAATAAGAGACTTCGGTCTCTCTGGTGTAGTAGTGAGAAGAATTGGTCGATGATCTGATTTGAACCAAGGGAGGTGCTTCACAGTAGCAGAGTTGAAAACCTCCAAGAACCGATTGTTAGAGATAATACGGTCTAAACAACTTTCACAGCCCTCCCTTTTCCAAGTATAGAAAGGACCACTACAACCCAAGTCATTGAGCTCCATAGCCTCAAACCAAGTCAGAAAATGTTTGTCCACTGGGGTGGCATGATGTGCTGTAGAAGTCCGTTCATTTTGATAGAGTGTGGCATTAAAGTCACCCCCTATGATTCAAGGCCACTCATCACTAGGGCGAAGTTCTTCAAGAGAAGCCCAGAGGTGACGTCTCAAATTTGGATTTGTCCTAGCATAGACCGAGGTAATAAACAGCTTCTCGTTCCCCTTCTCAATAAGGGCATGAATAAATTGGTTCGATTTCCCCAGAATAGTTGTAACTATACCGTCTTCATTCCAAGCGAACCAGATACCGCCTCTCCTACCCACAGAGTCCACAATATCTAGCTTTTCAAAACCCAGGCTTTTACAGCGTTTCATCGCCTGTTCACCACTGCATTTGGTTTCCAATAAAGCAGTAAAATTAATACAATATTTCCTATGGATCTCCTTGATAAGACCCGGGAGGGCTCTTGCCCCAGTACCCCTACAGTTCCAAAATAGGAAGTTCATTGAGCAACTGGTGGCGGGGGTTCATAGCTTATAGGCCCCGTAGATGAAGTAGTAGATATAGTTTGCTGATTAATATTCACAGGATTTGACAAAGTCTGCTCAGGAGTTAAGCAAGGAGAGGTAGGGTCGTCTTCGGCTATAGTAGAAAGTTTGGCTGAATGAATACACGTGGCAGTAGGATTTTCAATGCTCCCAGGTATTATTGATCTTGTGTTTTTACTCTGTCCTTCCTCCTCCATAGGTTCCCCACCGTCGCCGCTTGAGAGAATAGAGAAAGGATTTACGGACTGGAGAAAGTGTTGTCTGCTGTCTTGCTTATGACCAGGTATTAGGCCGGCCTAGGAAGCAAAGTTCGTACCTTGAACATCCACTCCATTGACTTTTGAACTTTCTTCACTTGCTGTTTTTGTTCCTTGGCTAACAGGGACCCACTTACGAGAAGATTTCTCCTCTGTTCCGAGATTTTTGGATGCTCTTGATTCTGTGACCGTTGCTTTATGCGTTGACTTGGAGGGGCTTGCATGGGAACTTCTGAAATAAGTATTCTCTTTATTAGATCGCGGAATATCCTCCCTTCCATGCACATTGGTGGTCGATTTTGTGGTATTTCTAGAATTGCGTCGCCGTCGTTGAACCAAATTCCAGGAGCCAAAAACCTCCACGTTTGCCGATGAGCTTTCGCCGGCGTTCAATCTTCTAGTGGCCTGGTCACGTTCTCTCTTTTGATTTCCTCCCAGAGAAGGTTCTATCGTATCACTTCCTTTTTCCCCCATATAGGGAGTCTTTCTGGTGCCGACCTGTGTTGGAGGGGCATTACCCTTGTGCGCAGTGCTTTTATTTCTAGATTCATCCTTGCTCTCAGCTTGTTGACCAACAGGTTTGTCGGGGCATGCATCTCGATGGTGCCCATATTTTCCACAGCAGAAGCAAATGAGGTGTAAGCCTTCATACTCAATGCATCGACGATTCCCAAAGTTTGTGACTCCAGACTTCAGCCGTTTTAGAAGATCAATCTCGACGCATATGCGTGCATATTTGCCCCTCTCGCTTGCGTGAGTGGCACGGTCAACCTTTAAAGTTTTTCCAATCATAGAGCCGATCCTTCGAATAGTTGCAAGGTTGAAGAATTCCAACGGTAGTAAGGGGATCCGAATCCACACAGCAATCTTCCTTTGTGTCTCAGCATTCCAGGGATCAAAATTCGGATGCCATCGTTGCACCACAATGTATCTATCACCCATCATCCATGGTCCTTCTTGATAGATCGATCTCATGTCCGCCTCGTCTTCAAAGGATGCCACAAAGTAGCCATTGTCGATGTCTCTCACTGTGAAAGGTTTAGGAGTTTTCCAAAGTCTTTCCAAGGATGGTCTCATTACCCATAGAGGAACTGATTTCCCAAGGAGGTGGACTATCAAGGACTTTCTCCAAGGAGCACACCACAGTTCGTACTCCTCCTTGGAGACTTTTAGCGTAGGAAAGTCGTCATTGTCATCTAAGCTCGCCGTGCTCTCCCTGTTCTTTTGACTAAGCTGAGTCGCCGTCTCACAGAAGAAGCCTTGTAAACTTGACATGTACTCAGACCAAGCATCATCAAAAACGCTGCAACCTCGGCAGTCTTTGGAAAGAGGGCTCATCTCTGTATTCATAAGTTTGTCTTTGAAAGAAGATTCCTCTGTCACCGCTCCCCCTAGCATTTGCTCTACCAGATCCGATGCTTTGAGATGTTTCCCTTTCTTCCTGGTCCTTTTTCTGACATCGCCGTCCTCAGTTCCGCCACCATCGTTCTTTGCCGAGCAGTTCTCCGTTGTCTCAGTGCGTTTCTCAGAGCCAGTGGCCATCTCACCATAATCAAATAGAAGAAGGAGAGAGGATATTATGAAAGATAATTATGGTGTTATAGGAGAAACATATTATATTTCTTATAATTGACTAACTTACCTAACTTTCTCAATTTAATCAAATTAGTTAAATAGGTCTTATATTAAAAATCGGAAGAGTATTTCAAATTTGCAACGAGACCATCCTTTGTGTTAGGGGTGGTAATACGGGCCAACCCGCGGGTTGCGGGTTGGCCCGTGGCGGGTTCAACCCATATGAGTCGGGTTGAAAAGCGTCTTTTGAAGGCGGGTTGGCTTTTAACCAACCCTAACCCGTCAAGGTGGGTTGGGGGGTTGGCTCGCCAACCCGCCAACAATTATTTACTTTTTTTTTAATTTTTTAATCTTTTAATATTATTTTTTTATTCAATATTTAAAAAAATATAATGATATTTTTACTTTTTTCTTGAAATATTTGATTGGAAATACCAAATAAATTATATAGGTATTTTTTTTAATTTTTAGATATAATATCATATATAATAATACAATTATAATAATTTTTAAAAATTTTAAAAATAAAAAAATATGCGGGTTGGCCCGCGGTTGGCGGGCTAACCCGCGGCGGGTTGCGGGCCTGGCGGTGCGGGTTGGAAAGATTTGTTTACTGGTGAGTTGGCTTTTAGCCAACCCTAACCCGTTATTTTTTGCGGGTTGGCGGGTTGGACCCGCGAGTTCAACCCATATTACCAGCTCTACTTTGTGTAGAAGAGAGACTCCAAGTAGAAATTCTAGTTATTCTGAATCTCCTTTCCCATGCAAATTTAAGTCCTCTAAGAATGGCTCATTCCTTGGCCTCATGAGTACCGCACGGCAACAGCCCAGAAATTGGGAGAACCCAACCATCCAATGACCCAAATGATCCCTCATTACTCCTTCGGATATTAGTCAGAAGTCTGTTGTTGAAAGCTTCCCACATGAAAACCTCTGATTCTATCGGCTCCCCTCCATTTCCAAATACTCTTGTGTACCGGGCTATACTGATTAGGGGGGTTTTTCTCAATCAGGAAGTAAGCACTTTTGAGAGAGAAGTTACCATGAGTAGTAGCATTCCACACCATTATGTCATTCGAGTCATTTTTTCGCATTTTGTTTTTTTTTGGGTGCAATTTTGCATTTTATTGTTAGCAAAACATCAGTGGCCATTGTCATGAAAAATTTTGGCCCAAAGCACCAAAGAGTGGACCTCCAACCCCTTTTTTTGGGGGCAAAAAAACCCATCAACAGTGCCAGCAGGTCTCGAGTAATGAAAAATATTTTCGTCATAAAATGACAATTTAGATTTCTCTCCTATTTTAATAAAGAGTTAGCTTGTTAAATTGGCATTTTATCTATTTACACTTCTTTTACGTCATCCTCCCTGGTTTGAAATCTGTTCGCTGGAAAAAAGGAAAGGGAAATCACTTCAGTCCATTTTGCAAAAGTTGGCACACACATATCATAAATAGATTGCAGATATGATCTGCGAAAACTCGGGAGTTAATAATTACAAGAGAAATGATTTACTAACAAGTTTACAAATATATCAAATTAAAAAGTTAATTTTTTTGACCAGGGAAATTAAAAAGTTAATTACAAAACATTATCAGACTCTTGAAATAAAAATAAATAACCTATGCACAATTACGGTAAATAAAAGTAAATGACGAATCCCACTACGACCGTGTCCCCGTGCAAAAGGATGATACGAACGAATGATGGGGAAAAAAGCTACTCAATATCAAATTGATGTTAAACGATCAAAATAGAACTCTAATAAAAATAACGTATTAATATTACCACTCCCACAAGTTTTTCCAAGAAGTCAATAACATCTGTCTCTTCAATTAAAATGCAACCATACACAAATAGGCAAGAGCCAAGACATTTACACGAGGGAGTTACCCATGGAGATGGGATATATAAACAATAATAAAACTTCCAGAGTAACACGGAGACGGTAATCATAGAATGGCGCAACGATTTTCGCCTCGTTTACGGAGTTCTTCCTTTGCCATCTCCAGATTTTCACGAAGTTTCCGAATTTCATCATCTGATCTCATTTGAGCCAAAAATGCATTCTCCTCTGCCTTCAGCCTTGCAGCTTGCTCCTCAGCCAGTTGTTGTTCAAGCCTGGTAGTTGCTTCCTTCAACTTTGTCTCCACCTATCAAAAATAAAACATTACATTACCTAAATCCAAAACTAACCCATAGATGGTCGCCATATAATTGAATCAAAATTGAGCCATTGAATTTATTTCTCCACAAAGGTAGGAATCAACATAAAACATAGCATTTACAGTACGTTTGAGTAAAACAAATCAGTAACAGAATAATACACAGTAACAGCCGACACGTGCTAACTATGTCAGTAATTGACCCTGCCAGAGAGCCAGAAAACCAGATCAGAGTTAGACAGAAAATCAAGTTCAGTCAAGCCATCCTTGCTTAATAGCTAAGGTCTGCAATGAAATTACTCTATACTACTTCAGAGGTTAAACATGCTAGAATATTTTCTTGTTTGGGAATTGGGGTTTCCTGATTACCTTACATGGAACAAGGAACACAGATAACAGAAAACAAAATAATTTCTCAGAATATTTCTACATCAATTTGTTATAAAAATCCCTTTAACTATTTATTTGACAAGATTAAAGTTAAAAAAAAAAACACCATGAAGGCCACGCAAACGTTATTGGAAGATATCTATCGGTGAATGATAGATCTACAGAGTTCAATGTTGATAATTGTGTAGTGCAATCGATATAGCTGATCTCCTTTAGAGGGATATAACTTGTTGTATATAAGTGAAAACTGCTAAATTCCTCATATACTCAATTACAAATACTCAGTTTCCCATTACAAACTAGAATGGGGTGAGAATATATCACGTGCTTTGGCCAAAATGCATTACTCAGATTCCCCATCAAATCTGAAATCATAATTCTTCCTTTTCACTCTCCGGCAGCAATTTTTGCCCATTTGAAAGTTTTGAATCAACAAAATATGATATAAACGGATTTTATGTCAAGCCATGGCAACTCCAGCGGAGGCCAAAATTTATGTCAAACAACCAGAGGCATGTCGTATTTTTAAAATAAAATCCGTCCAGATGCAGGGCAAGGGAGGTAGAGAGCTGCCTCAGCAAATCTTTGATTCAGTACAAAACAACCAGAAAACCACATATAACCTCCTAAACTATAGTCTAATTATATCTTGATTACACAAACTTGCTACACTTGGCTCTCTAAACAACTAAGTAGATTCAAAACTTATACATCACTTAAACTAACATTTAGAAGCCACATAAATCTTATATGACACATTGAGCAAGAACGACATGAATAAAAGAGGGTTAGGGCAAGGTATGATGAAACAATCACCAAGTTCATAGACGTTAGTCTCATTTCCACATTGTTTAAAGTTTGTCTTATGGCCAAATGTTTTAAGAGGGTTGTGTTTAGTTTTGAAGTTTCTGTAATCCGTATTATAACTTATAACTACTATTCAAGAGACAATATGCTGTTCCCCCAATAATAACAAAGTATGTTTCTTTCATAAGGAATGCCAATAAGTTCATGAGAATACAATCGAAGTGCCGGAGTTAACCTAGCGCAACATCTACCCAAATCCTGATTCACAACCATGCAAAATAAATTCTGAATTATCAAGTAGCAACAAAAATGCCTCAATTAAAACAGTCTATATCACAGGCTAGTGTTTGCATTTACCTTTCACAAGAATATGGTGAGAGTTTACAGAATTTCATACATATAACAACCATTTCAGGGGCAACAGAGCATCTTTGCAGATTGTTATAATTCTTAAAATACTGAATACGGAATAATTATAAATGTAAAAACAATAAATGACCAAAAAAAAAAAATGTGAGGGCCAGCCGAGTACTCAGAAAGTACCATTTCAGTAATTCGTTTTAGCTGCTCATCATAAGTACGATGCATCTGTTCCTTGAGCTCCTTAATCTCACTTTTCGAATATCCTTTCAAGGATTCAACCTCTATTTGTTGGTTATGCAGTTTCATTGCCCCTTTCTGCAGTAAAGTTGTAAATTCACTGATATAGTATATATTCAAAGATCCAAGTAAAGAAGACTGACAAAAATTTGCAGAAACATTCACCTTCAGTTCAGTGAATAACTCATCCATATAAGGTTTTCCACCATTTTGTGCAATGACCTTGTTGACAAGAGAAAGAAGTTGCTGAACTTGTTCAGACTGCTTTCTTTCATCCTTAGTCTTGTTATCAAAAAGCACATACCGGTTTTTGCACAAAACAAGAATTTCCTACAGCAATTTAAAATTGATATAAATGTTAAAAAAGTTTCCAATAATATAAATTTGATAGAAACGACACAGCTGCATTCAAAGATGTTCAAGCAAAAACAAATATTGTTATATTATTGAAACCAGCAAGAGAAAGGCTGCGAGATTTTACAAAGGTTGACATTCCATAGTAATTGTTCAAATAACAGAAGTCTTTTGGGTCAAATTTGCAGGGATGACATTTAAATTAGGAATGCTAAAAATTTATATTCTAGCTTGAAGGGAAAGTCATGTGCCTAAAGCATCCTAGTTCTTATAATGCCATGTTACTCTATTTAACCATATTGTCTTGACTTTGATTAGAAAATTCTTTCTATAACCCATCCCTTTGAAGTCATCCAATAGAATTGGAAGGATACAACCATCATATAACCTATCTTGCAATCATTGTATCTACTTAAATCAAACCAGATGTAGGGCATCACAATTTGGTTGCTTAAATTTCTCTTTTTTCCCCTTCAATCTTCCAACATTAAACTATTAGTTCGTTGACATACATAGGCTAGAATAGAACAAGATGAAGGAATAGAAAAACTACTTAACAAAAATAACACTAAGGATGATAACTTAGACTTGCTCTCCGAAATTTCATTTCCATTTTCATTTTAATTCTCCCTATCTTCCAAAAGAAAGAATTATAAATCAATGAATTCATCTTATTTATTAAAAAGGAAAGGTTAAGAGCTAGAAAGTTAATAATGAACGGGATCAAACTCAACCAAAGAAAGACAATGTCACAGCAACATCAAGGAGGCCAACTCAGTTGGCTAAAGAAGTGAAAAAGAAAAAGAATATCAACTCAAACAAACCTTTAAGGGCTCTGGGCACTCACGACCTAAATAATCGTCCAAAGTTTCATCATTGTCTTCCAGTTCATCCCCTCCAGTGAAGACCGCAATCATGTAGTCAACTATTTTATTTCCAAACAGTGTCTGCAAGTTACGAAGAGCAGCTTGTTCTTCCTGAGAAAAGCGAGTTCTAACAGAGAAAACTACAAGGATGGCGTGAATTCCTTCTTTGGCAAGATCAATGCATTTTACAATTTCCTTCCCAACAAAGTCAGACCCCACAGCAAAATCAAATAGTCCTACAAAATTTGTTTTGATGAGCTTAGGCACAACAAAATTATAACAAAGGGAAAGCAATGATTAGTTAATCAGACTCATCAATCCAAAGCTCCTTACCCGGAGTGTCAATAACATTCACAATTTGACCATCTCTTAATACAGTTCTCTGCAATTCACAAGTGCTTGTTATTCCCGACGAACTTGCCCTCGATTTGAAGGCCTTCCTTCCAAGAATGCTATTACCTGTAGCACTTTTTCCATTACCAGTACGTCCAACCAATACCACTGTTCGGGCCTCATTAGTTGAGACAGTGAGCTCCCAATCATCATCATCTATAGAACTTCCACCCATACTATGAATTCAGGTGCCCTGTAACAACAATTAAAAAAAAAAATCAGAAAGAAGGGGGGAAAAAGCTTTCCAATATCAGGCACAGGGTCCACATATAAAAACCCAAAGGAATTCACAAGAATTCAAGTCTGCCAGTCGAGGATCAAACGCAACATACCCTTCGAAAGATAGTAATTCAGCAATTAAACAACATACATACACCTTCTAGGTTTCTAGATCAAGAATTTGAGCAATAAAGAAGCACCCAAACCAAAAAATCCAGAAAAGATCCAGTCCAATTTACAATGATCGAGACTTATAAAAAGAGCAAGCCATAGAACAGCAAACAAAAGAACTCATGCTATCTCCATATATAGCTTAATTAACGATCATTCAAAACAGTAAAAATCATTCCAACCCTTGAACCGGAAATACTAATCTCCACCCTATATAGTCTAGAGTACAGGTCAAAGCAAGGCAACACAGGGGGTTTTACACAGAATCGAAGACAGAGGAAAGCGACAATCGAGTTGTGAGATTACTTACTCAAAGAATACGCCAATTTGGTATGGATAGCAGAGAGGCGACTCCCACTCCAGGAATATATTGGGAATATGGAAAACGGTGAAACTTGACTTTGGCAGCTTAAGTCCTAAGTTTACTCCTGAGGAAAATGGGAAATTTCTGATGATGCCCCAAAATTTAAGAATATCTACCGACAATATTTGACATAATAAAATTCTTGTTTTGTGAGCAAAAGAGAACGTGAAATGAATGAAAATATTAGGTAAAAAATTTTGTCAAGTGTGTTGACCACTTAGCATTTACAATTAAATCTTTAGGTAAATCTAATTCTCTAAAATATTTTGTCATCTAATTTTGCTAAGCATTAATTTTTTTTTCTAAATCAATTATGCATTTAAAATATTATGTCATGAGCAATTTTAACTTCATTATTAATTAATTAAACAAATCCATTTAATGAATATTTTTTCAGTATTTTTTAGAGTACTGGACGTACTTGAAAAAACAATTTAAGGTGTTGAATGAACTATAAAATATTTTAAGATATTAAATACATTTAAAAAGAACTTCAAGGTGCTGAATACGAATCACAAAATATTTAAAAATGCTGAATACATCTAACAAAAATATTTCAAAATCTTAAGCCATGAAAACATTCATGGCTAATACTCTTTTGCCAAAAAAAAAAATAGTAATTGAGTGGCATATAGAAAAGAATATATTTGCAATCTTTCAGTTTTATATATAAAGTTTTAATTTCATCGTTAGTTATAGGCAAAATTAGCTATTTACTCTACTAATAGAATATGATAACTCTCATATTAAGATACTAAGTGCAAATGTTGGCTTTGTACAGAAAATAAGTGCAAATGTTGGCCCAAAAAAAGTGTTAATAGGAAAGATTTTTTAATTACAAAATGGATAAAAATCAAAATTGTATTACTTATTTAAGGGATGACAGCAGTTAGCAACTATACAAGTTTTCTAATTTAAATTTTATAACCTCGTTTAATTTAGTCCATTATATCAAATAAACACGACTCTGTTTTTGTGAAAAAAACAGTCTATAAAAAATTAGAAGATCTGGGTCAACAACGTAATTGCCTCAATTCTATTCCAGTGCCCGTAAGAAAGGCAAAGCAGCAATACGAAACGTCACGTTTCGGGGCTTAAGAATATGAAAGGACTCGGCGTCTGTGGGTTTAGGGAAATTACAACAAAGTCATTAAAAAAATAATTATTAATAAATCTCAATAATTAGTGATTAATTGTCCTTTTCTACGTCTTTTAGTAATTACATTCTCGTTTTAGAATTTATTGCAACTCTATCTTTTATTTATTTATTTATATATTTATTTATTTTGATCGAAAAGATGAAATCAATTGGGTGAGTTAGTAGTATAATGAATTTTAAGGAGAATTATAATGAGGTCTTGAAGAAGAAAAAAATTACATAATAAGTCACAAAAATTGTTATTGCTTGACTGTTTTTAGGACCTTTTAGTAATTAGTTTTTTTTTAGACTTGATTGTAATTCTTCTTAAATTTTAAAGAGAATTATAATGAGATTTTAAAAAAAAAAATTACAAAACAAGTTATAAAACTTGTTATTCTCCATTTTTTTAGGATTTTTAAGTAATTAATTCTTTTTTTTAAGACTTAATTGTAATTTTCTCTAAATTTTAAAGTCAGGTTGGAGACTTGAGGGCAGTGTACGGCAAACCCCACATCGACTGTTATTCTCACTTTTGTTGGTCCACGCGGGGAGCAATTGGAGCCAGAAAACTTTTCATCAGCTATATTGATCTGACCTTGATCCTTTTTTTTTTTTTAACCAGCGATTTGAATTTGATCTCCACAACTTAACTTTTAAATTTTAATATTACTAATGTTACAAAATATGTAGTATTGTTTTGAAATTTAGGATGATGAGGTTAAAAAAAACTACAAAAGATCGTTTTTTAGATATTTTAAAAAACGCAAACATAAAATTTGATTACCTTTGAAAATTTAAATCTTCTAACTTTACATAGACGTTGGGTTTCGTTGGCCGAAAAAATGTAGGGCTTGGGCTTGATCTTTTAATTTTATAAAATACTTTCTATGCTCTGATCCTAATACTATCTCTGATCCTAATCATAAAACTCAGTTAATTAATTTAGAGAGATTAAAAAACTTAATTAAGTTAATTATTTGTAATGAATAGGTATTGTTTTTCGTATCTTTGCTAATCAAGTTTGTTATCTAGAATTACTATTATTAGAAGGATTATCTTGGAAAAAAATAGATAAATATAAGAGACAAAGTAGATTGAAGTCTTATATTTAGAACCAAAATAAAATTCAAACAAGGTCTTATATTAAAGACCGGAAGTAGTACTATTTAGTATTAAATAATGATTTTTTGTGTCAATAATTGTTATTTTTAAAAAATTAAACTTAACATGTCAACGTATAATAATGTTTGTCACCGCCTAAATATTAATATTAGCACGCTTTCTTAATAACTTTATTATTAGAGCACAAAAATACTTTTTAAAATTAAAAATTAAAATGAAATTTTATATAAACAGTGAAAACATAATATTTAATATTTTTAATTCTTTTTTATAAGAGAATTTTTTTGACTTATTAGTTGTCACGTATTTACAATAGACTCTAACAATATGTTTGAAATATTTAATACGAGTATTATTGTTTCTTTTTACTCTCACTAATTATTATATTAATACTGTATTAGTCAGCGAGACATCATTAATTAATTTTTCCTATAGACCATAGCCATTATTTACATGAGAGAGATATGAGTATTTTTTTTAAAAAAAATAGTTTGCATTTTTAATATATTTAATGAATTTCATCTACATTTTTATCCGCACAATTTAATTGTTTGTATTTTATAAAAAGATTTTAAAAAATAAGTTGTGGGAAAAATTTCTTCGGTTGAAACGATCACTATTGGTGATGAGTCGGCCACATTAAATTGTTTTTTTGGGCAAAAGTCGGCCACATTATATGACACCCATAAGTGGATAAGGCTTTGCAGTATGGGCTAGGAATCTGGGACTCTTGGGTTCAGTGTCTGATATTGAGATCAATGATTTTTTTTTTTTTTTTGGATTGCTCTAGGGTATCCCACCGTCGAGAGCAGTGAGACTAATCCCCCGTCTTTGGGTCGTCGCACGAAATGGTAAGGAACTGGCCACGGGGTGCTTTCCATTCACAAGAGTTGGGGATCGAACCCCCAACCACTTGCTTAAAGGATCAATGATTTTTTTAGCTGCACACACGTATATATGTATATATATCTTTTTATTATAGACAATTTTATTTTCAAACACTGTCAGATATTAAATATAAATATTTTTTAGAAAAAAGATTCAAATTTTGATACGTGACGTTGTAATAGACTATAGCCATTTTATGTTTCATTTTACTTAAATGAAGTAAAGTGATGCATAAACTATTGGGCCCCTCTAAGTGATAAAATTATGGGAAAACGTAAAAAAAATGATAATTCAATTTGAAAAATCCCAAATAGTCACTTCAATAAGAGAAATTCTATTTTAGTCACACATAACTAAATAAAAATTTTGAAATTTGATGAAATGACCATAGCACCCTTACATCATTTGTGCTCATGCTATGAAAATGTTTTGAAAACAATGCAAGTTATGCATTATGTTATCAAACTTGTTAATATCGTTACATAATTTGTTAATCATATTGCAAAAGTTGAAAAATTCACAATTTATTAGGCACTCAAAAATCCATCAAAATCGAAATACCTCTCAAATTACATGGTGAATACATAATTAGTGTTGTTAATATTATGAGAGTTATTAACCTTGTTATTGAAGTTAAAAAAAAAAAAATCCAACTTTCACAATTTCCTGCGGAATATGTTGCTAATTGCATTACTAAAATTGTTAATATCGTAGCATGAATTGTTAACCACGTTGTCAAAGACACTTTTAAACTCAATTTTCAGTTTCATATTCATATCTATATGTCAAAATCAATTCCAACATACTACCTCCGGTCTTAATTATAAGATTTTGTTTGTAAACTACAAATAAGATCTTATAATTAGGACAGGAGGTAGTATTAAACAAGCCATTATGTGTCTCTCTTTCTCCACTTGAACTAAAGTGCATTAAGACAGATTGAAGTCATAGAATGGTTTGTTTAATTAAGACCTCCGATCTTAATTATAAGACTTTGTTTGTAAACTACAAATAAGATTTTATAATTAGGACAGGAGGTAGTATTAAACAAGCCATTATGTGTCCCTCTTTCTCCACTTGAACTAAAGTGCATTAAGACATATCCAAGTCATAGAATGGTGTATGCTCTATGGTATATAGACAAGGTACTCACAGTTATTATCCAATATTCAGATCACACACATTATTTACGTGTGTATACATATTTGCCACCAAACCACCTGATCACGATTCATACTAATTTAGATCAATCCAACACACGTTATATTTTTTGCATATGCACTCAATACCTTGACTAACCTCTCAGAAAATTACAAACCAAACTAATTTGGATCCAGTACATGTTATGTTTAGTATAACAATATTCATGATTGCATACAAAGGGACTGATCCGGTTTTGTTTTTGTTACATAGGTAGCATCAATTCATATTACATTATATATATATATATATATATATATATATATATGCGCTAACTCTTGCACTGATCAAAATATTACGAAGCTTGGCACATACATAAAGCAAAACTATACTATACTACTTAGCTTCTTCTGTAGCAGTTGTAATGCTTTAATATTCTCCTATCTCTATCATATAGTTAGTTACCTGCATTATAGTTGAAAAAAACAAAAACAAAGACACAGATATATTAATTGGAAGATAATTAAAAACTCTCATTAGAACTTTATTTTAACGAGGCCACCAGTGAAATGGTAAAGACTGAAATAGGGACATCAAGAGCTAGCTAAGTACTCATGTTCATTTTTTTGTGCTCTCCTGATGTCATTTCTATCAGAATCAAGTAAATAGAGTTTATTAATTGTTGAGTTAAATTTTGAGTAGACTACTTATTGTTTTTCAAACAAGTTTTTTAATAAAATGATACAAA